ATGAAACATCCACAAAAACTAGCTGTTGAACTAGATGAACAATCATTAACATATTGTGAACTGTTGTATTATGTTCAAGTCTTATCTTTAACTCTTCTTAATGAATATCATGTGTTTCCAGGTGAGATCGTGTGTCAATGTGTTGAGCGAAGTTTATCAATGGTAAGTTGATTAGGAGAAATAACTGTTTAAGATAATAAAATTTTTTTTTGAATTAGGTGATTGGTATAATGGGAATTGAGATGGCTGGTGGCGTTTATTGTCCATTATCCCCTCGAGATCCACAACATCGCTTATATGCACTTACACAACAAACACAAAGTCGTCTTGTTCTTGTTCATCATTTAACTAAGACGAAATTTGATCATGATAGTGTTTCACTTGATATTGATTTAGTATTAACCAGCCATGTCGCTGAATGTGTCATTAATCTGAACGGACTATTAAAAGTTGCAACAGTATCAGACGATGTCGCATACATTATTTTTACAAGTGGTTCTACTGGAACACCAAAAGCAGTATGTTTTCTGCATTTTATAAAGTGTTTTTTTCATTTTTTCGCTATGTTATAGGCTCAGACCAGGCATCGGAACTTCACAAATTTCGTGCGTTCCATAGAAAATGCTGGTGTAATAAACGAGCAAGACACAGTGTCTCAAACATGTGCACCGACATACGATGTACATGTCATGGAAACCATGGGTAGTTTACTTTTGTGCGCCACTGTTATAATGTTACATCCATATGGCAATATGGATTTTGAATATTTTGCTCACACACTGCAACATAAACAGATTACGTGCCTTGCACCTGTTCCAACTTTCTTAAATCATTTATGTGATTTTCTTGTACATTCCAGTCGCTATTCTTTGTCATCTGTGCGATCACTTTGCATTGGTGGTAAGTAAAGCAAGATAAAGGTGATAATAGAAGTTTCTCTTAATCTTCTAGGTGAGCCATTTTCACAAAAACTCGTTCACCGCCTCAGAAGTCATATTAAAAGTGAGTTTTACATGCACAACATATACGCACCGGCTGAATGTACCATTGTGTCGATATGTCATCGCGTTGACACGAATTCTGTTGAGAACAACATTCCTCTTGGTAGTGTTCTGGCTAATGAACAATACAAGGTTCTGGATATTTTATTGCAACCAGCAGCGATCGGAGAAGAAGACGAGTTGTTTATAGGTGGCGAGGGTGTATTTGCTGGTTATCTTACACGTGATGATTTAACTGCAAACGTTCTTGTTGAAATAGATGATAAACTATTTTATCGCACAGGTGATCTTGTTAGAATAGATAACAATGGTCTGCTTCATTATCAAGGAAGAAAAGATCATCAAATCAAATTACATGGACAACGAATCGAACTTGGTGAGATCGAACGATGTTTACTTAGCATTACATCCATTTCTGCTTGTGTTGTCATGAAATGGAATGACGATTACTTAGTTGCATATGTTCAGTCATCTCAGATCAATGAAAAACAATCCCGTGAACATTGCCAATCTCATCTTCCACCGCATATGATTCCATCCATATTTGTTATACTTGACAAACTACCATTGAATCCAAATGGAAAAATAGATCGAAAACTTCTTCCGCCACCTCACTTCTCATCAGTACATCTTACAAACACTGTCGAACTACTACTACCAACAAATGATATTGAAGTTAGCATTCATCATATTTGGTGTGAGATATTTAAACAAAATCAAATCTCAACTGATACAAATATCTTTGCTATTGGTGGTCATTCATTACTTATCATGCAACTTTTCCATCGATACAAGACCAAATTTCATTTGGAAACAAGCACTCTTTCTATTTCGAATCTATTTCAATATCCAACAATTATTCATCATGCTCAACTTATTCAACAATCTATCAATACCATTCACACTGTGAATAATTATCGTTGGTCTTCATTATATCTCACTAAAGGTGAATAGAACAACTTGAACTAGAGATTAGTATAAACTAACATATTCATCTCTTTCTTTCTCATTGTAGCTAGACCATCGTTTGCACAAGAACGAATCTATTTAGATGAACAAATTCGTTTTTCATCCAACAAAACAACGATGAATAATATGTATGTTATTCCATTAATTTATCGTATATCATCTGTGAATGATCATATATCAATTGCTCGATTATATCATGCATTTCAGAATGT